ATTACTTTCTCCTTGATATGTGGACAGAACTTAGTGTCCCCTTCTAATGAATAGAATATCATAGAAAGGACAAGTGAAACTTCTTAGACTAGGTCATAAAGACATTGCAGACCCCTTGCTTACTCTCTCGGAACCTTGCTCTAGAAGCCAGCTAGCCATGTCTTGAGAACGCTCAGGTAGCCCAGTGGAGAGGCTCACGTGGAGGAACCGAGGCTTTCTCCAACAGCCAGCACGGAACTAGTTTCCTCTCGTTAGCCAGGTGAGTGAGCCATCTTGGAAGCAAATCCTCCAGCCCCATCAAGCCTTCAGGTGATTGTGATTTCATGAAACCCTGAAGCAGAACAACTCAGCTAAGCTGCTCCTGGGTTCCCAACTCCGAGACACAGTGAGAGGTAATAAATGTTTCTTTAAGCTGTTAGTTCTATGGTAATTAATTATACATCAATATACTCCCAACACTGAGATCTGTCTTTAACCCAGTGGCTCTTCCTGTTTAATTCTGTTTTAGCAAGATTCCTGCTGGGTCCGTTTGGGGGAAATCTCCACCCTTTATAGCTGATCAAATTCCTCATCACCCTGGCCTGTCTTCAGCATAATCCCATCAAGTTGGTTTGGTCAGAATCTACCTTACCCCTGAAAATTACCTCTTAGTAATTTTCCATCCACTGACACCCACAATGTCCCTGGCTATAAATCTCCACTTCACACTTTGTGGAGTTAAAGTTCAGGCTCTCTCGCAAAACCCCATTTTATCTAGTGGTATACTAGTACGCCCTCAAATACAATTTTCCTTACCATCTTTAACAGTGTCAAGAATAACTTTTCTTTAACATTTCTTTGTTACTAGGAATTATTCTCAAATTAGTATTTTCATACCTTTACCTTTTATACTATGTTCATTTTGAGGGAAAGATTTTTAGATTAAAACATTTCATAGTTTCACCATAAAAGAAGTCATTTTAAAATAATTCATGGAGTAATTTGAAAAGGATGTGTATATAGACATGTCAGCGTATAACATACACACACCCTCAAAGCTCCAAGAAAAACTTCATTCAAAGGTAAAACTATAAATTAAGGCTAAAACAGCCTGCAAATGTTAATGGAATTAACTTACCAAAAAGGTATGGAGAATTAAAACTCTAATAAAAATGAAAATATGCATCAAAATATTTGGGTTCAGACAAACCAGTTTACAAACTTTGTAAACAAAGTCAGGCATTCTTAAATCCTTTTTAAAAAATGTTTAAAAAGATTTTATTTATTTTTAGAGCGTGGGAGGGAGAAAGAGAGGGAGAGAAATATCAATGTGTGGTTGTTTCTTGAACACCCCCAACTGGGGACCTGTGCCCTGATGGGGAATCGAATTGGCCACCCACTGGGTTCTCAGGCCAGCACTCAATTCACTGAGCCACACCAGCCAGGACTTAAATTCTTTAATACAAAAAAAAAAATAGCTTTTAAAATAAAAAGCCATAAAAAAGAAAAACCCTTTAAAAAGTAGATGTATAATGAATCAAGATAAAAATAGAGAATAAAATCAAAACTACTTGGGATAATAAATCAAGAGTTGCTTCTTGGAAAAAGTACACCAGAAGCATTGATAAAACTGTGGCAAATCTAATGAGGGGAAAAGAAAATACATTTCAATATTAGAAATGAGAAAGAGAATAATATGCTGAGTAGGGAGAACAATATTCAACCCCAAGTGGAACTATTTTTGCTTTAATAGAAAAATTGTGAATCCAGCCAAGCAAAACCCTGGGTCAGTAAAGGAAAAGTAAATGATTATCTCAAAAGATGTCATAAACTATCCAATACAAACTAAATAACAATTCTCTTTAAAAATTCTAAATAGAAATTCCTTAAACAATATACTCATTACCTTTAATGGTAAGCATTTCTCATTAAAACCAAGAACAAGAAAGCCTATTTTCATATCATCATTTAGATGTTCTGGCCAATGCAATAAAGTCCAAAGAGTTTACACAGTGGTGCTAAAAAAAAAAAAGTTAAACTAAAAACATGCCATGTTATTGATGAAAAGACAAATACCAAAAAACATTTTTTCAAAAGAACATTTTATTACTATAATTGCTACTTTACTTACACTTTTTGGCAACAATAATAAACTTTATCTGAAAGAACAAGCAAGCAAAATAGACAGGGAAATTCACAAGAGGTAATTACAAAATAGTAATCTTGACTGCTATTCAATTTATTTGTAAACAAAAGAAAGTGACATTGCCTTAAAAAAATATAGAGGTATCAATAGAAAAACAGAGAAAGCTCCTGAAGGAACTCAACTCACTATATATTAATTTTCTTTTGGTTGCAGGCACAGAAATAGACTCAGGCTAGCTCAATTCTTAGAAGCAAAGCCCTTAATGATTGATTATCCCTTCCCAGCTTTTGGTGAAAACTTAGGAACTTTAACTAGATCAGAGAGAGAAGGAAGGAGAGGCATAAAGTGTCTTTTGGGGAGAAAAGGGATGAGGGTCAAACCTCATTCAGTGTCATTTTAAGAACATTGGTGAAACTCAATGACTCAAAGAAAATGTCCAACAATTAATTGAGGTAGCAAACCATGCAGGTCTTGGGGAAGAGCATTCTAAGACAAAGAACAGCAGTTGTAAAGTCTTTGGATTGGAAAGAAATGTGATTTGCTTGAGGAGAAGCAAGGCTAGTGTGTCAAAACAAAAACAGTGCATCACTGGGGAAAATGGTAGAGTACCATGGTACAGAATGAAAGAGAGGAGGCGGGCAGGGCCCATATCACTGAAATCTTGGCAATAAATAACAATTGCACTCCTTAGGGGCACATTTTAGTAAAAGAGCAAACAGCAGTAAGAGTTGATAAAACTAAGCAACCACAAACACATAGAACTAAAACATTTCATATTTTTACCATCAAAACAGAGTAAGGGAGATAAATACGCAAAGTCTGAAGCTCTAGTTATACAGAGAAGCTTCCAGCTGACAGCAGAACAAGTAGAACACACACACACACAAACATATTCTCTATGCCTAAAGAAAGGCGTTCAGGCTAAAATTTTAGCAAAGTGCCTTGGTCCAAGCAAACTAACTGAAAAGGCCTAGTTAAATGTTCAAAGTGCAAATCAATCAGTCAAGCAGTGAGCAAACTGATACAATGAAATCTACACTGAGGGTATTATCTAAATCATGGACGTTATACTCACAGCTACAGTGTTGTCGGTAGTTCTTCCTCCCAGTTCTAAGAGGAATGCTAAACCCTTGATGATTATCACTTCCTAGCTCTTGGCAAGAGCATAAGGAATTTAACTAGATTAAGGAGGGAAGAAAGGAGCAGGGAGAGATAAGGTGCCTTTAAAGAAGAGGAGAAAGCAGGGAAAAAAGATTTCTCCTGGCTTAGATCTACTGCCAGGATCCCAGACCCCTTGAGTAGTGCACAGAAGCTGCCAGGTACTTAGGTCAGGGGTGGAGAAGGAAGGCACCAGAATATACTGAGGAAGACTCAACCCTGGGAACCCACAGAGGCAGCCAAGGCTGCTGCTATTAAATACTCAGAGGGTACTCCGCAGTTCTGTGGAGGAGCCCTTGGAAATGGCAAGGAAAAAAGGTCGCCCACATGTTAGAAAGGTGAGCAGATTAGATGAAGAGCAGCAACTCTACAACCTAACATTTACTGAAAGAAGGGTCATTTCTTACACATTGGAATGGGTCAAGTAAGACTCAAACAGTATTGACTTCATAAAGTGGGAAATTATACACACAAGAGAATAATAACTGTTAATTGTAAATACATTCATGTCCAACAGGCAAGATAGAAAACTGTCACCTTCACATGTTCAATTATGGTAAGATACATAAACAGAAAAAAAATACAAGAAAAAGCCCTACAGTAACCAACTTAAGTTTAGTCAGTCATCTGGTCTATTTTTATCCACTATACCATGTGCTCTTAGACAACCCCCATTCCAGCTTAACAGAACTAAATTGAGCTCTCAGTCCATGAACTGGACAGATAAAATCTGTTTGGCCTTTTTCAGTTAAAATTATGGGTCCAGTACAGTTCAAACTATAGATGCCAGAGCTTCTTTCCCTTGGGAAACTTTACTGCTGTAGCTGTGAGTGACACAGTTCATTCTGACTAAAGGCCAGTGAGAAAGGAGAGGGGAAGGAACATATCAAATTCCCCTGTGGATCACTCAACAGTAGGTCCACTGGCACCAGGCACTATTCTATTAACTACCTCTGCTTCTTCAGCTGAAGTCAGTGATACACTAGTTGTTTGATGTCTGCAGGGACCCCTCACCAAACACAGGCATTCCATTGCAATGGTCTTGCTTTCCTGGATGTACATGGGCTAGGTAAAGACACTCTGGCACAGAATTCCTTATGCCTTAGCTCCAAGACAAGTGAATGTGTGCCTCTCAACTGAGCAAAAGAGCCACTGCTGTCCACTGACTAACTTCCCACTTTCTGGTCCCATTCACACCACAGCTTCTTGCTCAACTTCTCCACATTCGGGCTTTCAGAGCCAGGTTTATTTTAGGCCAGCACAACAGAGGCACTTCTGGGAGTTCAGCAGCAAACAGGACTATGCCATAACAAAGCCATCCCAGTTTGACTAGAGTTAACATTAAAGTCTTCAAGGTATGAGAAAAGTAGAAAATAAAATTAAATACTTAAACTCTCTATATACAGGCAGAGGTTACACACAAGTAACATGAAATAGCAAAATAATAAATAGGTTTCCAACTTTTTTCACATACATACATACACACAAGCACCTTTTGAGTTAAGCCACATCCAGTCACATAAAATCCAGGTAATACATTTTAAAATAATATGTCAAAAATCATATCAAATAATACTATATAATTAAAAACCCATATTTAAGCTATTAAATAACGTATGGTTTGTATTTTTTGTTTATGGTGTTTCTGACTTTGATTAAAATACTCGCTTTAGACTTCCTGAAACTGGGATTCACAAGGTTTTTTTAAATTCTACTTTTAGGCCCTGAGGGGTGATGATTCACAATCAGATGTGCTCACAGTAATGGATGCTACTTCCACTGACCCCGGTTGACGAGGTTCCAGTGATACTTGAATAACAACTTTAGTTTCAGGAGGCAACCCTTCTAGTTGCTTAGGCTTCTTAAACATTTGATGACACCGGGTCTTGTGCTCCATTTTCTCCTTGAAAGTTAAAAACTGTAGTCGGCATTTGGAACATTGATGAAAACTCTTTTCCCAGTGTCCTCTATAATGACACATGTAGGGTGTTGCTGTTTTGAAAATTTTGAGACAAAATGGACAAAGCAAATTCTTAGTGTTTTCATGGCATGTTCTGAAATGTGTTTCCACATCAGCAAAGACCGAAGATCTGTAACTGCAAACCTGGCACACATAGGGCATTTCGCCAGGCTTGTGATTGTCCTTCATGTGCTGTAAGAGAAACTGATCTGTTTCAAATGACAATTCACAAATTCGACAGACAGCAGAGGGCTCCTGGGCAGTGTGCACACTTCCAATGTGACACTGCAGCTGAAAGGGACTGGGAAACTGCCGGTGGCAGTGCTGGCAGGTGGTGTGGACTTCCCAGTTGTCACCCCTCTGCTTCTCAAGTTCCAAATGATGCTTCATGTGATTCATAAACTTGACATTTTTTAGAACTTTCGAGCAGCTGAAGCATTTAAAGGCTGTGTGGGTCTTTTTTTCTGGCTGCCCATTTCCTTTATGCTGTCCATAGTAAAAGTCATGAAGTAACATGATCAGATTTCCTTTCTTGGGATCAACAGTCTTGTTTTGACTTACTAGACTTGAAAAGTCTGGTTTTGTCTGTCTATTTTCCCTAACAGGATTTATAGTCTTGAAATGAACAATGTCCTTTGGATAAGCTGTTGGAAAAGGTGCTCCATTCTGAATAGGGCTTAATGAGGTATGAACACCATTTGAGGGTGTGGTCTGTTGAGAAATAATTGTATGAAAGATTCCTGAAGAGGATAAAGCTGAAGAATGTCCCCCTGTGATTCCATTACTGAGTTTAGGCCTTTTGGGATTTATGCTGTTTACTTCAGAAGTGGCAAGTTGCTTCGATACACAACTTCCTACAGAAAGTGCTGCTCCTACTGGATGCTGCAATGAACTTGTGAATGTAATCAAAGGAGAACATAACTCTGAAGAGCTATTAGGCACAACATGTGGTGAATTACTTTTACAATCAGGTTTAGACAAAGGCTCAATGATAATAACAGGACTATCTGTTAATCTTGATTCAGATTCAGAAACTGGCAAGACAGTCACTGCTTCTGACGTAGGGGTGACATGACTTACAGGCCGTATTTTGTGAGCAGTATCTTTTCTAGGATAAGCATACTTTCTTCTCCTTGAACATGAACCTGGGGTGACTCTGTTCAAAATGTTTGAAATGACTGGTTTTGAATCTGAAGTCACCCCAACAAAGATCAGCTCAGCATCATCATCTACATGTTCCACTCCAACAAAGATCAGCTCTCCATCTTCTTCGTCTGCCCGTTTTCTTTCTTCTGTGCTCTTCTGTGGTGCCAGCTCTTGTTCTTCCTCATATAATACACGTGTTGGTTCCATTCTCTAATTTTTTTTTTATTCTTGAAGGGTGTAGCCTTGTAGCACAAGTCCCAGTGCTTCCTTTATATGAACTGCCACCTAAGTACAAACAACACTACACATGAGTAAGTAAAGAAAAAAAATGTATCTCATTTAATTCTCTCCAAAACTCTAAGATAGTTATAAACATCCTTATTTCACAGCTAAGGGCATTGAACATTAAAGAGGATAAATGACAGCTTAAAACTATGATTACAAGTCTGTGCAACTCTAGAATCATAGCTTTATCCTGTGCTAATTATGATCTCTTCTATTAACAAAAACTTCCAACAACTAATCATTACCCAAACTCCTAAGTAAAGGACAAGTATTTTTGACAAAGGTACCATTGCATAGGGTTTAGAAAACAAGCTTCAGAACCAGAGAAGATAAAGCTGGAAACTAAGTTAGCCACACAGGAGCTGCAACTTCTTTGGCAAGTTTATAACTTTAACTGTGTTTCTGTTATCTTAAAAGGCAAAAATTCTTATTACTTAAGATAACAGTTCTTAAGGTAACAGTTCTTTTTAAAAAGCACCAACTATTCAACGGCAGTTTGTTTTGTAGTAGAATTGAGGAAAATTTATATTAATATTAAATGCATATATTCTAGTGGATTCACACATACTAATTTCATGAATATTAATATAGTAAAGCATCAAACTCAAAGAATAGACTAAAAGTACCTATACATAGTTAATACATAGTATAATTCAATGTCAAGTGCTTAGCACATACAACTCTCTTGATCTCATCCCAGCTCAAGGCCTTAATTATAATTTATTTGCTGATGTCTCCTAAATTTCTCCCTCCAGTCCTTACTTCCCCACTGAACTTAAATCCAACAGTGCTTCCGTGCTCCCTCGTCTCACCTCACTGTCTTCTCCACATAGCAGGGAAAGTGATTCTGTCAAATCAGATTCTATCACTGCTCAGCTCAAAACTCTTTAATGGCTTTCTGGTTTATTCAGTAAAGGACCAAATCCTTCCAATGCCTACAAGACCATGCTTCCAACCCTGCATATCACCCTGTAGCTATCTCACACTCCTCACATCCACCTCATTCTAGCCACACTAACCTCCTTACTACTTCTTAAACACACAGAACACTTTGCCTTGCTTAGGGCCTTTGTATTTGCTGCCCCTCTAATATGAATGCTCACCATCCAGATATCTGCATGGCTGGCTCCTCACCGCCTTCAAGGCTTTGTGCCAAGTCTTACAGAGAGGTTCTCAAATACACCAACAAACTTCTAACTCATATTCCTGATATCTCTTCCCTTCCTTTACCTTCAATCCCTTATCACCACCTAAGGTATTATAAATTTTGTTTATTTCTCTTGATTCTTTTCTACTGTCTATCCAATAAAATATAAACTCCAAAGGGCTGTATCCCCAGCACTGGAGCTCAACAAATACATTATTTGTTAAATGAATTAATAAACAGTATTTATTAACAACTTTCTTTTGTAGAGCAGATTGTGCCCCATTAATTCAATGTTTTCTATGAATTTACTCTGAGAACCTTGTCCACAACAGAAATTCTATAAGTCAATAAAGGATTTAAAGCTGTTACCCTGTTACAAACATTTTTTGCTACAATCTAAAATAAAAATAAAATTTATATGGCATCCAACTACACAAACACATATAAATAATAATTTCCTTTACTACATGGGATGCTTATTCTAATAGCTTCTATTTCATTTTTCCTAAATTGACCATGACCCACAAATTCAATTATGATTCATCAGTGGGTGTACTACCAGCAGTCTGAAAACCATTAGTTTAGGCTGGCAAATGTAGGTATTTGAAATCACAGTTCAAAATTCACCAACTTCTGAAAACAATGTCAAATTCATTGTAGCCCAAAGTGGATATCTTCAAACCAGAATAATCCAATCTATAAAAATCAAACTGCATCTATTATGTGCTATGCACTTCTCATTAATTTAATTAGCTTATTAGTATATAATTTTGGAACACACAGATATTTAATCCTGCAAACATGTGTACCAACAGGGAAACAAATATAACAAGATATATAATATTAAGAATAATAAAAATTATTCTTTTTCTCACCATTCCACAACTATATTTTGCCTGCCCAACACTGATCTGAAAGCACTGCCAAGCACAGAAAGTACTGAATGCATAAAGAAAAAAAGAAGGTGGTAAATGCATGAAGCTTATAGTGTGATGTCATAAGCAGTAATTTACAACTTTAAAACTAAGGTTAAATAGATAATTAGGAGATATGTAATGCAAGAAAACATGATGCAGATTTGAAAACACTGCTCTTTGGAATCTACAAAAATGGGTCTGGTGTGTCTATCCACAATTTCAGTCATTTAACTCCAGATGCCACATAGTCCAGTGTTTCTCAATCTAAGCTGACTTTTCGGAGCAGATAATTCTTTGTTGTGGGAGATTGCCGGCTTCATTTAGGACATTTAGCAGCATCTTTGGCTTCAACCTGGTAATGCCAGTAGCAATCCCCTAGTTGTGGCAACCAGAAACGTTCTGTGGAAGAACTTCTTCCTTAATCTAACCTTCTCTGTATGATGACTTCCACATTTCTAGTAACTACTTTCTAGGTAATTCTATATTTATGCTCTAATATCCTCTCTAAAAAACATAAACCTAAATCAAAATTATTAATATTCTTCCTGATATCATAAAAATCAAGAAGTAATTTGACAAGTAATATGACCATCATGTAACAGGGTGCAGCCAAGGAGGGGCCCAAAATAAAGATTTGTAATGGGGTGCAGAACTTGGTGTCCAGGAAATATTAGAAAAAAAAACATATAGGAGGTCTTCACTCCCACAAGTCTGAGCTGGGGGATGGGACGCATGGCACAGGGTCATTAAGAGTTGTTTTGAATAACAACAGTTTTGCAAATAACCTCTAGAATGGTCGTTTAACATACCTATAACCTTTAACTGGTTTCATAGATATGTTGAACAGCTGTGGCCAGGCTTGGGGGGATGGGAGTAACTTCAATCCATGATGTAACTGGGAGGCAATTCCCCCTGGTTACAGAGCCTGCGTAAGAGCTTGGAGATGATTGGCTCCACACCACAAGGCCACACCTGCTGGGACTTACTATGGCAGCCCAGTAAAACTAGAAAAATACAGGAATGCTGGCAGCTGTGGCCAATTGTGGGAGGAGTGGGAAATGGGGCTACAGAGGAAGACTGGCGCTGGGATTTAAACCCAGGCATGGCATCCATGCGCCTTGGGCAGAAAAGAACTGGGCATCTTTTTGGGACCACGTGGCTTGGACAGAGATGAACCACATAATTCTATTTCTTTTTCTAAGATATGGTACCCTGGACTGGGCAGAGGGGGAAGGAAGGACTGTGTGTTCGTGGGTATTCTAAAGGACTTTGGGATCTCAATGAAGACATTAAGTCATTACTCTTAAGTTTGTGTAACTCTTTAAATAAATAATCCCTTTCCTTTTCACCAATCTCTGGCATTGAGAGACATCTTTCCCTGGCAGTGGGCAAGGCAAACCTAGTACAGGGTGGGGGACCCCTGGAGCACAAGGGTGGGTCCATTCGGTACTAGTATATCATTTATCCCCTCCCTGGGGTCTGTCCTGCAACAGTCAGAATTATCTGAAGATGGACTTCTAAAGCCTAGAAAAGTTTATGATTCACCTAAAGGTATATATGTAGTGATTAGGAACAGAGCTAGCATTAAATGTGTGATTCCTGAATTCTGGTCCTATGTTCTCTCCAAAACAACTCTAATTTAATGCATACCTATTTCTGATAATAGTGCTATTAACTGCTTAGCCTCTAAAGATCAAAGAGCTTCACTGGATTCATTTTTACTCTCCTTCTGTTAGGTAGCAGCTAGGAATAAGCAGCCAGAGGGGAAATAAAGGCAGGGCCCTCACCATTACAATCTAATAAAGAACTTAACCCAGGAGGACAGAAGCAAAGGAAGACATGTCTTACCTGCTGACCCAGCAGTCTTGAACCTAGTCCAATAAGATTGCCAGGTATGCCGAACAACACAAGCAAAACTGATAGCACAGGAGGAGGGGACAGTTGTTGAGACTGGGCTTCTGTAAGCTTCTGTAACAATCTTACTAAGATTGCCAGGTGTCTTGAACATCCCAAGGCCTGGAAGGTGGGAGGGAAGTCCTTGAAATTCTATGCACTGTTTCCACTATCTGGGAAAGAACCCCCACACATACCTACATTTGGGCATTCACATCCCCTGGGGGAAGCTGGTACCACTTTTATCCACTGATTAGTATGTAACTTCCTCATCCCATCCCACCAACTATACAAGTCCTCAGAACAAAGGAGCTGATGCCTGTGGCCACACTTGGCCTATGGCCACTGGGCCTCTGACCACCCAGCCTTTTGCTACCCTTGTTCTTGCCACCCATGCTCTTACCTTTCTCCCCCACCTCAGAACCTATCACTAATAAACCCTGCTTGCATGCTAATAGTCTTGCTGATCTATAATTCTTTACTGCATCGGCAAGAACCAGGTTTCTCCTGTTAACACTGCTATGTTGTAAAACTTATTCTAACCTCCCCCAGCTCCCATCAAATTAATCACAGGAAGTTATAAGAGATTCTAAATAACTTTTTAGAGCCTTGATCATTCTAACTACATTTCATTTCCATTCCTATTAAAGCATCTCTCCCCAACTTCTAGGTTTAGGTCCACTAATTACTTCATGTTTGTACATCTGTAATAGGCTCCAAATTGTTCTGTATTATCTTTCTATCTTTCAAATTACATAACACACCACCATTTGAATATTAAAACACCTAAATGTTGAATGATTCCTTCAATCCTTGGCAATACATTTTAGGTTTTACTATGGACTGAATTGTATCCCACCCCCAAATCCATGTGTTGAAGCCCTAACCCCCCAGTGTAATGGAATTGGAGATAGGGTCTTTGACAGGTAATTAGGTTTAGATGAGGTCATGAGGGTGGAGGCCTCATGATGAGATTAGTGCCCTTAAAGAGACTGGAGAGCTTGCTTCCTCTCTATTCCACCCCCAGGTAAGGACACAGGGAGAAAGTGGCTGTATTCAAACAAGGAATAGAGCACACTCACCGGGGAAAAAAATCAGCCATCACCTTGATCTTGGACTTCCCAGGTTCCCAAATTATTACAATTTCCTGTGTTAAAAAACATAAAATAAACAAGTTGTTGTAACATTGCTGCACTTTCATTCAACTCATCTTCATTGGATTTCTAGCTATTATCCATTTTGATTTCCCTTCCATCCAACCAATAATTCAAGACGGAAAGTTAAGAATACAGAAACAATCAAAGTGAATAAATTAATGAGTTCATTTAGAACAAGCATAACATTAGAACATGGGAATTTTCTTACCACTTCTGTAGTGTCCTTATTTTCTACAACTTATCAGAATCTTGAGATACTGGGGTTGTCAGGCTGGAACTGTAAAGACCTACTAGATCTAAGGAGTCAGTCCTGAAAAGTCCCTTCATATCTCTCCAGCCAGGAAGTTGCCAAGGGCTATAGGAGGAGTAAAGGTTTCATTCCAAAGACAGCTGACAGATCAGGTGGTGATAATCCACCTTAGCCCTAAAAAATCACTTCATACCCCTCCAGCCAGAAAGTTGCCAAGGACTGTAGGAGGAGCCAAAGTAAAGGTTTCAGTCCAAAGACAGTTGACAGATCAGTTGGTGATAATCCACTTCCTAGCTTATTCCTGTGCATTTACACAATGGACCCTGTAGTGGGTCTTTGTTAATATTATCACCAGCTTTTCTCAGGCATCTGTCCTTCTTGAGTAACTTCCTAAAATTAGGCCACCAGGACTCCTCTAATATCTATCCTCACCATCTTCCTTTGCCCCGGACCCTTTTCACCCCAGAACTATTCCTCCAAATTCCTGTTCCAACTCCCTCACCTTCTCCCCACCCATAGCACTTGGGTCCCTTCCCCACTATTCCTCCCCCTTCCTCCATTAAACCACACATACATGCTGCCTTAGAATTTAATCAAAGTAAACACAGAAAAATAGAGGTACTAATGAGTCAGATTCTATATCAGTATCTTGAAGGTCCACAAGATTTGTTGATGGATTGAATTTGGGATTTGAAGAAGAGGCTGACATAAAACAGGTGATACTAAGCAGATAAATATATAAAACTGGAGCTCAGGGAAAGGTCTGGACTAGATTATACAAATGTTGGAGATTTCAGCATGTAGTGTTACTTAAAATACAAGATTGGATGAGATCACTGAAGGAAAAAGATCTGAGACCCAAGCTGTGGGGCATTCCATTTGTTAGAGATCAGGTGGAATGAGAAGGAACCAAAAAAGAATATGAAGAGGTAACAGTTACTCACAGCCTTATGGATGGGGGTGGGGGTAGAGAGAAGATCAAGAAACAAAAGCATCCTGTAATCCGAATGAGGTGGAAATGAGTTACTCTGACAAATGCTACCAATGATGTTGGGAACCACCCTGCCTGGTTTCAGAAGCTGTAACCCCTCATGGCTAAGGCTGAGTGAGAGACCTTGGGACCCTAAGCCAGTAAGGAGACAAAGCGTATCTCCCTGGCAGGGGCGCTGCCTCCCTTTACTTCACCGTGCTTGGCCCTAAGCCTGGCCGGTTAGCCAATGACAGGTAAAATTCCTCAAGGGAGAGACGATCTAAGACAGGCCCAGTCATGGGGCCCTCAGGGAAGGACTTGGGGAGCTATAGAAAAAGGGGGTGATGGACCCTCACCCCATGGCTTTGACATAGCCTGAGTCCTCATTCTGTCTGCAAGAAGTCTCCTAATCTCTTGGCTGACTTACTTCCCTTGCCTGACTTAAGCCTGAAACAATGACAGGGGGCGGTACAGCCCTGTGCTGGAAAGGGCGGGTTCCCCAGGGTGATCAGGCCTAAGAAAGAACACATAGAATCCTGTGAAACCTGCTTTGCTAAGAATGCCCTCAATTTTCTGATAAGAGTCTGACCAGGAAATGAGTTTATTTCCCAAAGTTTTATAGCCCTTTAGCTAACAGACCCTGGCTCAGAATAAGCCCTCATAGTTCTTTGTATATTATCTACTGTTTGATCCTTACTGCCTGACAATGACTGATGAGCTTTACCTGTATTCCTGTGGAAACTGAACCCAATTAAAAGCCCATTGAGGAAAAGGCTTTTGGCCCTTCTCCTTTGAGAGACTGACCACCTTTCCTCCCCAAGCAGATCATGTCTTAGTAGACTTATTCTCATCCATGGGGGCTGAGGTCCTGCGGGTGGAGCCCCCCCTCCACAATAGGTCAAATTTTTAAAAAACCAAAAATTGACCACTGAATTAAGCATTATGGAATTCATTATTAGCCTTAACAAGAGTGGTTTTAAAGGAGAAAGAGAATATCATTCAGCAAATATAAACAACTCTAGAGAAATTTTCCAAATATGAAATAAAATATTCAGGAGGGGGATCTGCAATCAAAAGGTGATTTATTATTTAATGGGAGGTGACATTAAAATCAGTCTGTTTGCTGAAGGGAATGATCCAGAAAAACAGACAACATAATCCAGAACAAAGAGACTTGCTGGAACAATATCCTTGAATAAACAAGAATTGCTTTGATCTAGTACACAAGTAGAGGTTTTGGCCTTAGCCTAGAGCCAGATAATTGACTGATGGTCATAGGACAATATCTGAGATCATATGAGGGAAAGGTTGGAATAGTACATAAATAGGAGTGGTAACCAACCTCCAAGATGGACCCAAATGAATCACACCTGGTATTCACTGTCTTGCACAGCCGTCTCCCGCACTATCACAGGGTTGGCCCGTGGGGCTAAGCAAATACAGCATACCTAACTTTTGAAAAAGAATCTGTGCTTCATCTTGGGTGCAAGCTCTCTCTCGAATCACTCACTCTGGGGGATGCAAGCTGCCATGACATGAGCAGCCTAATGGAGAGGCCCACAGAGTAAGGAACTGAAGCCTCTAGACAACAGTCAAGTGAGTGAATTTAGATGAAGATCATCCAATGCAAGTCAAGTCTGCAGATATAGCCAAAAGCTTGAGTACAACCTCATGGGAGACCCTGAGCCAGAACCACCCAATAGGTCTCACTAAACTGTATGTGCAAGTTGCTGAACATACAATGTACCTATAAACTTGCCTTCCCCTATCCAGTCACAGAAATAAAGCCCTTTTGGAAAAGGATATAGAAATGAACAACCTAACCCCATGTAATCATTTTAACCAATATCCATTCACCCTAGGTGCATCACTTATTACCTTAACACATTTGCTGAAATCTTATGGTTTATGGTATCAGCCCATTTTAGCCTCATAACATGCTGAAAGAAATCAAGATTTACATAGTTTAAAATCTATGGTGCGCTTAGTTTTTTCTTCCTTTCAGGAGATCAGGTAAAAGAATTTCACAACCACCCTCACCCTTTTTAAGGAAGCAATTCAAAAGGTTCCAAAATTACCTAAATCAATGATTAGCCTGAATTTATCACATACATTCAGATTCAGATCACATCCAATCAGGAAGCACTGTCTAAATCCTAATGTTTAAGCACAGGAGAGACCAAGAGAATAACTGAAGGAAAAAAGATACAATTTTAAGTCCTCCTGATAAAGGTTTCTCTTCTCTTACCTTGGGCATACACTGAAAACTTCTAAGAACTTGAGATATTCCAGGTAGGCAGTCACATCCTTGAGGCAGCCAGAGAGAAGGATTGAGGTCACTTACATGTCACAAAAGTAGTTTCTATCCACTGCCTATCTGATGTTGCCATTTGGCTGTTTCTCAAGCATCTCCCACTTAACCAGAAAACAGAATTTAATTCCTCCCCTTAAACCTATTCCTCCAAAAAAAATTAAATTTTGAATTGTGTGTAGGCTCACTATTATTATAGTGTTTCTTTTTCCACAGTAGTCACTAACTTTAACCTAAATAGTAAATGTTTGTACAAGGTTCATTGTCCCACCTCAAATTTGTATTAATTCCGTCCATTTATGGTGAAGGAAGATATAAAATAAGTAGAAGCTGGGCACTAGTTCATATGCCTATGAGCCAATAAAGACTGAAATAATAGCCCATATTGAGTTGGTTATTTTGAAATGTGGTAAAAATTATCGCTGAGGTAAAACAATTCTATTAGCTGAATGATCACAGGATACAACCATAATACTCTTCAGGACAGGTAGTTTTTACTCTGGGCAAATAAGTAAGTATACCATGTGGTACTAGCATTTAGGTTCCAAAGAAAAGAATCTGCAGAGAAATCTATGCAATGTATAGATTAGTTTTTATTTGAGGAAACAAATTCTGACATTCCCCCGAAGCGGTTTACTCATCAATTAATTGAAAGTCCTTCAAAAAATTTAAAAAAAAAAGGAAAGAAAGAAAAAAAGAACAGAACTAATGAAAAACTGTGGTACCTGGAATGAAAAAGAAAAGCTTCCTGAATTGTTGTTGTTGTTGTTGTTGTTTTGGCGGGACTAACTTTAAAAAAACCTAAATGGCTAAGTTTACTTGGTGCAGTCAAGAACAAACTTGTTGATTTTAACACTGCTGCTATCTCTGAAGTAAATGTGTGATGTTCTGGTTTAAAAAAAAAAAGATGAAGAAGAAAACAAAATCCTCGTTCTCCTAGGCACCCCACCTCAGTAAAGAAAACACTCCCTCTGGGAATCGCTCAAAACCGCCCGTGGCCCCGGGCGCTGGATGAGGGCGGGAGGCTGCCCGGAGTCCACCCACCCAGACGGCAAAGGGGAAAACGAGGCGCTGTGGCAGAGGACAGGTCAACCACTAAATAAGCCTTTCGGTGCTCCCAAGGTCTTCAAGGGTCGGGGCCCACAGATGTCCGGAAAGGGGGCGACGCTGGGGCCACAAAACTGGTTTCAGATTCCCACCACAGGAGAAAGCTCCACGAGGCCCTGTTCCCAGCCCCAGGGGATGGGGACGCGCCGCCGGGCTGGGGAGGAGTGGCGCCCGGGGAGACGAGGGACGGGAACTCGCGAGTGAAAAGGGTCTTTCGGGACCACACGCAGAGGCCGCTCCCCGGCTGCGACACAGGGACAGGCCGCCAGGCAGTGCAAGGACGGGCGTGGGGTGGCGGAATTCCTTTCCTCTCCCCTCAAGGAACACTTGGACCGCGCTACGCCCGGTCCTTACCGACGCCAGCCCGCAGTGTTCCCGAGGCTGCCGGCTGCGAACCGGCCCCAAGAGCTCCCCGGCGAAGCCTGAGGGGAGCGACGTCTCTTCAGTCCCCAGGCGCCGCCGCTGCCGCCGCCAACGCCTCCACACAAGCGCCCGCTGCAACCAGTGACTGGCTGCCAGGTGCGGGCGTGAGGCCGTAGGGGCTCCAGGAGCTGCGATCTTATTGGTCGGGAGGATGGTTCGGGCGCATGCGCACACTCTGGCTCTGGGTAGGGTCCGCCGAGAGAGGGGTCGGGGTCAGAGGAGGGTGGGTAGCGAAATATTAAATACTTCAGTTCCTGGGAGGGTCTTGGGAGCCGAGGTTAACACGGAAGGCCGGAGGTCACAGCCAGAGAAGAGACTCACAGTGTGCCAGGGAGTAGGCTTCCCCACCTGGTGTACATCTCAGAGTCCTCAAGTATGGTCTCTTGTCCATAAAATCCTGTCCCATGTTGAAGGAACTAGATCGTGAGACTGTGTTTCGCCATCCATTCTCTTAAAGTTGCATCTGGGGCCAATCCAATCTAGCCTCTGACACCTTAGTAGAAAGCTAAGAATGAGCTTTGCATTTTTAAGGCCTGAAAACCCCACAAAGAGACCTGAAAATTACATGAAATTCCAATTTCAGTGTCCACAAATAAATTTTATTGGACATAGGACATGGCCATTCCTATAGATATTGTCTATGGCTGCTTTTCTGATATAACAGCAAAGTTGACTAGTTGCCAGAGGTCATATTCGCAAAGCCTAAAATATTTACTATCTGGACCTTTATGGAATTATTTTTAATTGCTCAATTCTGCCAAAAGTCTATATTAGGAGTTTTTTGGTTTTGTTAATCTATAATGCCGTTCCCCACCCCACCGCCATTTCATTTACATCTTCCACTCTTCCTTATCTCTGTGATTGTTCCTTTTAAAAACTTTTTAAGATAAATGCCTAACTCATTTGTTTAAATTCCTGTATTTTCTCTGAATGTAATGCTATAAATTTACCTTAATTTACTTAAGTACCAGTTTAACTGTGTTCCACAATTTTTGCTTTACAGTATATTCGTTACTCAATTCCAAGTATGTCTAATTTCCCTAGTGATTAATTCTCTTTTTAGCACAAGGGTTAGATAATAATATGGAATTTATTTTCCAAATCCACGAAATTTTAAGAAGCTGTTTATCAGTTTCTCATTTTGTTGTGTTGTGGTTAGACACACAGTCTAAATATTATTGATCCTTTGTATTTGAAGATTTCTGTTTAGTGAAGTATACCATAAGAAAGTAGTGGATGTAGATGTAGAGAAAATATTTGCAATGTTTAAAATGCATATATGTGAAATGACCTCATTTGGGCCTCAAAATTACTCCAGGATCCTCCAGTAAGTTACAATTAAGTAAGCTCCTGGCTTTGTTCAAATTCACTAGTTTTTCCACTAAATGTCCTTTTTTTTTTTCTGTTTCAGATTCCCATACAGGATACTACAATCATTTTTGCTATAGCCTCTCCTTAGCTTACTCTGGGAAGTTTCTTAACCTTTGTTTTTCATGACCTTGATGATTTTAAGGTGTCCTTAAAGTTCAGGTGTTTTGCAGAATGTTTCTCAATCTGGTCTAGGTGTTTTTCTCGTGGTTACCCTTGGGTTATAAGTTTTTAGAATTCTACCACAGAGGTGACGGATCCTTCTCATAACTTTCTATCAGGGACACATGCTATCAGTGTTACTTAGCACTAGTTTCTCCACTATAAAGTGACTTTTTTTTTTTCACTTTCCACATTCTGTCCTTTGGAAGCACGTCACTAAATCCAGCCTACACTCAGAATGGGGCATGGAGTCTGGTGAAGGGGTGAGTATCTTTAAGACACAAAAATTATAGCAAGTACACAAATTATTTGGAATTCATTTGTAAGGAAGATGTTTCTTTTACCTTTAAATTTAATTTTAAGTAATCAAAATTAAATAAAATTAAACATGGAGTACCTCTGTCACACTGGCTACATTTCAATGGCTCAGGAGTCACATATGGCAAATTGAACAGAGAAGACATAAAACATTTTCATCAGTGCAGTACTTTTACAGACAGCGCTGACTTAAATCATTATTTTTCTAACCCTTCTTTTTAAATATATATTTTCTATGACAAAGAAACTCAAGAGTCTGGAGGCGTTGCTAGAAACAAATGATTTATTCAAGAGTCTGAAAGTTTATAAACTGGAAACTGGGCCTGATGAAGACAAGCCTGAACTTTTTCAAAGTAGGATGGGTGGAGATGAGACACCGGAAACCTGGGCACAGCCATTTATTTCAATCCCAATAAATCTTACTACTAAACCTCATCTTCCCATGCATGGGTCCCCGGACAGGTTTTTCTCATGACTCTGTGGAAGGATCCTATTTCCACCAGCAACAAAAGGAAAAACACGATTCGGTTTTTATATGAAAACTCAGAAACATTTGTCCGGATAGACACCAGTCTAGAGAGAACCATTTAACTCCCCAGCCTATGAGGTCACTCAGACAATAGGCATATAAGGAGCCTATGCCTGTGTTCTATCCCTATGGTATTCCCTTCTTCTGACAAAACAGAAAACACACAGACATAGAAAAACAAAATAATCATCTCTCTGGGAGAAAAGAATCAATTAAAAAGAAAAGAAAAGAAACACCCAAAAGTTGCTAGGCCTCAGAAGCTAAATTCACAAATATTTTTCTTCCCTACCAAGGCGAATTTAGAAGACAAAAGACTCACCACTTCCAATTTCCACCAAAGCCTGCAGACAAGAGATCAGAGGGGACGGCAGCGTAAAATGCTTACCTCTGCAGGTTGTGGTTAGGCGTCCATGGTCTCTCAGTTGCAGCAGTCCAGGGAGCCAGCAGTGTCCCACCCGGAGATTCTACTGGCTGGCTCACCAAACTGCGGGGTTAAAAAAATATTAATACTTTTGCTTGCTCCCACCTTGTTCTAGTGGGGCTAATAACCAAGTTAACAGAGACAGATTAACAGGTGGAAATCAAACTGTTAATTCATATGCATAGGGAATCCACATAGGCAGGAAAACTCCAAAGACAATGAGGCAACATTAGGTATATAAGATATTTTTGGAAAAAGGAGAAAGGGGTATTCGATTTCAGAAGTGTGAATGGGCAACTTACAGGTATTTGAGGAAGAGAATTGGAATACACAGGAAGGAAAATCCTTGTTAGGCAAGTCAGAAATAGCATGGTGGGGGTGTTATCTAGTTAACAGGCGCCTGCCTGAAGTCCTCTTATTTACCATACTTAATTCAAATTAGGCTAAGACAAACATCCTAAGATCTCCTTCCTGAAGCAGGTTTCTCTGTCTGAATCTCTCGTGCAGGAAAGTAAGGAGGATCGAAACTTCTGAGTCTTATGTTTTTTAATAAACAGCTTAAAATCAATATCGCAAAAAGGCAGCTTCGGGGTGGCAGAATTTTGGTCCCTACAATGCTTCCAAAGACTGTTTAAACCTCAGAATCACCTAGGACACTGTGATACGTACAGATTCTGGGGCTGCATTGTCACACCAGGAAGCTCACATTGCTAAAAGAGGGGCCTGGGAATCTAAATGTCCGATGTTTGCCCAATGGATTCTTTTTTTTTTTTTCAAAAAAGATTTTATTTATTTAATTTTTAGAGAGAGTGGAAAGGAGGGAGAAAGAGGGGGAGAGAACATCAATGTGTGGTTGCCTCTCGCACGCCCCCTACCGGGGAATCTGGCCCACAAGCCAGGCATGTGCCCTAACTGGTGATCCTTTGGTTCACAGAACAGCACTCAGCCACTGAGCCACACCAGCCAGGGCCCCATTGGATTCTTAAGCGAGAGTACCTTGGGAAGCATTGATCTCTCAGGTATGACTGAAATATTTCTGCACCTGTTCTTCCAAGGGAAACCTGAGGGTGAATTGAGGGTCAGGAATTTTTTTTTTTTCATTTATTTGACATTTACACTAAGCACCTCCTTTGGGACAAGTGCAGTGCTGAGTGACACAATAGAACAATCACAGTCTGGAGTTGGAGCTGGGAGCTTCCCCCTTCCCCGCTAAGTTTCCAGGACCCCCCACCTCTTTTTCTGGGGCTTCTGGATGACCTACAATGTCCACGGAGGTTGGGTGTATGAGCAAAGCCCAGAGATCTAGAAGCAAACGTCTCAACGAGGGCTGAATCACCTGGGCTGTGCTTTTTAAGCATCAGTGAGCCTAAGGGCTCACCATGGGTCTTATGAAGCTAAAGATTCTGATTCAGTAGTTCTGGGCTGGGCCTGACACTCTGTACCTAACAAGCTCCCAAGTGACATGGATGCCGCTTGGCCACAGGCCAGATTTGGAGCAGTAGGTACTAGGGAGCTTTTGAAAAGTAGTGATGTCCTGGATGATTCTGTTGACCCTCCTCTAAACCAGTGGAATCAGTATCTCCAAGGGTGGGACCAGGATTCCGTGTTATTAAAGCTCCCAGGTATTTCTAATAAACAGCTGGGTGTGAAGACACTGTTCCCGTTGGTGACGGCTCCTGCTCAGCATTTCCTGAGTAAAGCAGTCTGTGCAAATGAAGCCCTCACCGTCACTCCTTGCTATGGCCTTGATTGTGTCTCTCAAAATTCATATGTTGAAGTTCTAACCCCCAGTACCTCCGAATATCATGATATTTAGCGATAAGACCTTTAAAGAGGTAAGTTAAAATGAAAACGAGGTTGTTTGGGTGGAGCCTAATCTAATCTAACTGGTGTCCTTATAAGAGGAAATTTGGACATGCAAAGAGATACCAGGGATGCTGAAGCATAGAGGAAAAGATCAAGTGAGGACACAGCGACAATGCAGCCATCTACAAGTCAAAGAGAAAGGCCTCAGGAGAGACAAAACCTGCCAACATCTTGGTTTCGAATTTCCAGCCTCCCGTACTATGCGAAAATAAATTTCATTTGCTTAAGCCATTCAGTCTGTGGTATTTTGTTATGGCAGTGCTAGCAAACTGATACTCCCTTGAAAAGAGGCCAATAGAGAGGGCTGACCTCAGTGACAGGTAAGGGCTGTTGTTACCTTAAAAGAAAAGGCTTAAGTGAGAG